ACTGTACTCAAATTTTCAGGCTGTGAACTTCTGGGTGGTGCAAGATCCCTGGGTGGTGCGAGCCTACCCATTCTCCATAGTATACGGGGAAAAGAAATCCACACTATCTAGGCAGTAACCGAATTCTCAAATGAGCATCTACAAATATAAGAGGAAACTTGGCTACTTGATCCACCTCATTTTTCAGCCTAAGGAAGAGATGCCATTTCTGTTACACCCTTATTCACATCCCCTTCTAGAGTATCAGCTTCCTTAAGGGAAGGGTCATGTCCTGTTTATCTTACTATCCCCAATACCTAGTACCAGGTACTGCAAGCACTTGGTTAAGTAGTGGTTGCTAATTGAACGAATAAATAAGTGCTAACTGTATTGGGGCTTAGCAAATTGTGTCAGAATTTGATCCAATCTTTGGAGCTATGGTTACAAAATTACAGTAGTAAAATCACAGCAAAGTCAATCTCCCTCCCTCTTTCCCTGTGCTGGCCAGGAAAATCCACTCAAACCTAGCACATTCTGTACTTGGAACTTGAAAAAGCACACCAGATCTGAGACCTGCAGAAATAAGGGCATTAGAGTACACTGTTTTCAATACTGAGTTTGCTCAAATGCAACAGCTTTTAATGTACTAATGCCAAGACACTAAAAAGTTTTCAAAACATTCTCTTTTCGATACATGTCAGCCATGAATAATTTTTTTCTGATATACTTTACTTTGGTTTTCTACTGATATATTTCAGATTCTTGACCATATCTATTCATTAAAAAAAAAAAATGCCAGGGAAGGGGAAAATGTAAAGTTATGATGGAATTTCACTTGGCTCACTTTACCCTCCACTACTTAATTAAAAATAAATTTTCACTGAATTTCACTTGGTTCATTTTACCCTCCACTACTTAATTAAAAATAAATTTTCACTTTTCGCAGAGTGGGAAGTACCTCTGAGAAAACTACTATCTGTTTTACATTATAATTAAAAGTCTGATTAGCTGGCAAGCCTATCACTCTATAGCTGCATAAACTAAGTAGGAAATTACATGGTTATAAAATGAGCTAAAAGATTCTAACAAAATGATAGCTTATTGACTATAAAGTAAAACTAGTTCCATGTAGATAACTAAGAAACCAAAGCCATTTATATTCTGTTGTATAAAGTATGGTTAATATTCCTGATAGTCATGACTAATTTTTAAAAATTCTTTCAATTTAACACTTACTGAGATTTTTCTAAGCACCATGCTAGACAAGGAGCTATAAATAGCAGTCCCCACTCTTGAAAACAAAGTCTAGTGGGGAAGTTTTATGGAAGCACTAGGATAATCAGGAAATGATTCACAGATCTGTGTCTTCAAGGATGAGTAAAATTTTAACAGGCTAAGGAGACAAAGCAAAGCAATCATGCAGAGAAAACATTACAAACACAGGCATGGAAGAAGAGGCATGCACATACATGTTCTTGGAAGATCCAAGTCACCAGGTCTATGTTAGGAAGTGCAGGAGACAACAGACAACCATGGAAGGTCTTTGAACAGAAGATATGTGATCAGATCTATGTGATTTTTAAGTTTATTTGAAGGGGGGTAGGGACAGAGAGAGAGGGAGATAGAGAATCCCAAGAATCCTGATGCCGGGCTAAAACTCACAAACTGTGAGATCATGACCTGAGCTGAAATCGAGTCAGATGCTTAACTGACTGAGCCACCTAGGTGCCCCTCTTTGTGATTTTTGTATTTGTTTCTTTATGCTTACACAGAAGAAGAGAATGTGCTTCATCCTCTTAGCAGTTGTATTTCACACTGTAAATTAATAGATTGGCATTCTACTTTCATGTGTCAGTCTTGAACATTTGAGATCAGCATTCTACTGAAGGGTAAACTCATTTTTGGTGGGTTAATCCATCACATTTCTAAGCCTAGAAAGCTAAAGGTAAAATCTAAATGGTGATGAATACACTGAAGCAATATAATACTCCACAGACCTGACTGGGTGACCATTTGGCCTTGCAGGTGACACCCTGATGTCACTAGCACAATTTCTTGATATTTCTATAGAATGGAAATAATCCAAGTAAGAGATGAAGGAATGGAATTAGAGCAACAGCCTTATGCCGGCTGAGAAATTTACTGCAGATTTCAATGCGGGGAGTGAGGGAGGCAGGAGACTTTTCACTGGGTGATGGAAGAAAAGGCAACACCACTAAGGAAAAAAAAAAATTGAAAGGTAGGTCCAAGTTCGGAAAAAGAGAAGATGCATTTAAGGTACTGACAGAAGAGTCCTATGGAAATACCTAAAAGCAGATGAAAATATGGCTCTGCAAGAGACTGTGTAAGCATTTCCACTTCCTGAGTAAAGAGGTCAAGTTGTGTTAACAGATAAAATCACCTGTATAGGTAGTTCTAAAGGAGGGGGAAAAAGTCTCAGAATGTTGGGTCAACTCCTTAAGGATGCAATGAACATCATAAAACAAAACCAAAGTGAAATGAGGAATGCCAAGTCAGCTTGTACACAGATGCTTTATTATGGATGTTAATAGTCAATATTGTATGCAAGATTCTCTTACAATGGAAAGTTTTCCCATACATCAAAAAACTCAATTTAGTCAGGGTAATTGCTGTATTAATGTGAAAACCTTACAACAAAATGCAATATTATATATGTGTAGTCAGTTTCCATGCAAGTATGGCTGCTACATGTATGTCTGGCATTTTTATAAATACTGAAAGAAATTCAAATGAACACAACAGTATAAAGGTGATGTAAGATGCCTGACACGTTTAAAATTAAAAATCTTCTTGCAAAAAGCAACAAAGCAGTTAACTAAAGGATTCAACCAATACCAACCCAAATACGTCCTATGTCCGTCCAATAAGCCCAAGCTTATCTGCAATATATTACACTTGGGATACTTTAATGCTCAAGAAAAATTATGCTTTAAAAAAATATAGCTCTTCCAAGATATTATACTTTGGTGACTGGAGACTATGTACATCCAAACCAGCTAAGGGCTATGGGCTACATTAAAACAAACAAACAAACAAAAACCATTATGTGCTATTAGTTCAAAGTAACTGAAATAGAAATGATCCAGTATGATTTTGCTACAATCATTGGTTTTTATAAAGTGATATTTCCGTGAGAAGTTCACTAATTAGGAAGCAATCAACATACTTAACAAACACACTAAGAAGATTCAAATTGGTTCATCTATTTGTTATCAACAAGGCATAATCTTAGTAGCATACATTTTCTTCACTTCTCACTACATATAATATGCAAAAATGAGCAAGTGGATTTAAATAGCTTAAAACCCTTTTAGGTCTACTGTTCAAGAGCTAGGAATTCAAATACTTAGTATTACCATTTCTATTAACATAAAAACATCAGAAAATCTTAAGCTGTCTTTGTTTTAAGGCATAGTATTTTGGCATTTGCAAGAATTTGCCTGGTAATGGTTGATTCCACTAAGTTAACTTGAGAACTTGCCATCATTTGCTTTTTACCTTTTCACACAGTGCAAGTGGTGGTGGCTCTTTCCTTCTCTCATAGCAGCAAGCCGATTCTGCTATTTTCTATAGCAGCATACTTCAGGAGTGGAGAGGGAGAGAGTGTGTCAATTATAAATAATTACAACTACAGTGTACAATTCTATTTGCCTGTCAGTGTTTAAGTTGACAGCACACCATTATATGTCTCAAAAAAAGTACATAAAATCTCTACACAAAAGCAAATAAAGACATTCTTTCAAAAAAGAAATAAGTGCAAACACCTAAAACAGGCAACTGAAGCAACTGTTGTAACCTGTAGAGAAACACAAAACATTTATAAAAGGACAAAATATTTTTATAAATAAAAGGTAATGTTCTCTACTTCTGAAACACTGAGTAAATATAATAAACTTCTAAGTGCAGACTGTTTTTAGGGACCAAAGTACCATATTATTTGTTTAAACAAAACGCAAAATTTTCAAACACATATACAAATCACCAGATTAATTTATATGACCCCCCCATATAATTTAAAAAGAAAATATTAAATTATTATTTAGTAAATTTTTAGAACTATTTTATAACCAACATGATTTAAAGGGCATAGTGCAATATTTAGGTAGATGTGACATACAGTAAAGATACTGTATTCTTTGCAGCTATAACTTACTACTATTTCATACTTAAAAGTCAAAATTGTTTTTTACTATGTTAGCTGTAAATAACAGGAAACAACATTGGCTTCTAGACACCCTGTATAGGTATAAATATCTACATTTAAGCTTTAAAAATGAAAATAAATTATAAAAAGACTTCTTTCCAATTTACAAAGTCTTCTTGCGCCTACATACTGTACAATACATTCAACAAAACTCTTCTGAGATTTATGAAGAAAATACTGACTCTTTACTAATAAGGAAAAAAACCATTTTCAATGCTTTTTGTTTTTAGTACTATGCTCAAATAAATACATTTAACACTGTAGTTAATTTTATTGTTTTTGAAAAATACCAAAAATTAGTAGTGCAACTTTCTCTCCTTTTCAATTTTTTTTTCCATTGTATTTCTTTGTAAATGATAGCCTAAGGAAATTGGCACATAGGCAAAAGTACTTCATAAAACCATGTGTGCTTCTCATACACAGACTAATGCAGAAGTCATACATACTCATAAACCTATCTGTAAAAAACTGCAGCATCAAGAGAGTAACAACATGTATCTTGTGAAGAAAATATGTGAGAATTTTAGGATATCTGTAACATTCTAATATGGTTTACCCATCTCGTTCTTTAAAAAGAATTTTAAAAAATCTCATCTCTTAAAAAATAAACTATGAAATTACCTACCCCTTACTTAAGTGGCTGGGCTTTCTGCCTGCCCAATATGAAAAATGATGTAAACCGTTTTAGTGCTGTATTAAAACTTTAAAAACAATTACTTGACAAAAATTTCATTGCAACCTAATTTAGTAAAGAATATTGTAAGAGAGTGGGGCATTTCATCAATTTTAATAACAATTACAGTATGAGAGCTCTTGAAGTGCTGCTGGCAGCTGTATAAGTACTCAAATATCTTCTTGCTTGTTCAGTCATGATAAGTTGGTCTTCTGTCTTCCCATAAACCACTGTTTCCCATTCACAATTTGACTGTGAAGGAAATATCAATAGCGATGTGAAAATTACTAAAATAACTATTCCACTTCACAATTACACTTTTAAAAGTCAATTATTTCAACTGACTGGATTTAATGATAAGTAATCACTGTAAACATGTTTTGACAATGGCATTGTGATTCTTTTTATTAAACAGTGTTTTAAAAATACATACCGAAATATTTACGGCCAATTTTTTTAAGTCCATGTTTTTATTTTCTTAAGTCCATGTTTTTTAGCTATCTATATTGTTTATAGACCTGTGGAGGCAGTTTGAAAGGTTTCTACCCACGACTCCCCCCAAATCAAATCAGTCTTAACATGGAAAGAAATGTCAGTCTTTATTGCTTCAAAATTTTGCAAAAGAGTCAAAGAGAGGATGCAATGTCAAAAAATGAGCTGAGAACGCTTTGTTTTGCAAATTAGGAAATATGTTCATAACAGAAGATCAAGTTTGTTTCATTGGTTTTCTTCTATTATAAAGATTACTACATTATAGGTATGGCCTGCTGTATATATTTTTTCCTGAAAAGTTCTATGTTACACACTGGGAAATCAAATCATTTTAAATGGATTGAGAGAATGTGCTTCATGGCTCTTTGAAGAGTGGCAGCTAAGGACTGAGACGAGGTGGCCACATTTGATTGCCAAGTATGTTTTCAAGGACTGCTTAAATGTCAGAATGCTAGGGCTGCAGTCACTGTGGTATAAAGAAGAGAACTTCCTCCTCAATGAACTCTCAAATTATCTGGGTTGAATTCTTAAGATAACGTAGTAAAAAAACTTTCCAGGCTTCATTTACAGCAACATAATGGCTGCACAGCAACAGAAAAAAGAATTTTGTTTTACAACTTCTGAGCCAAAAAGTTGACTGGAAACAATTATACGAACAAAATCAAGCTGAAACTGCTTCCAACCACTTACCCTTTCAAGATAACAATTAGGGATATACATATTTGTTACAGGAGAAGAAATGCCAGAAGGAAACTTAGATATCTTTATTTTAAAAATTAAATAGTGCTGGGGTGCGTGGGTGGCTCAGTTGGTTAAGCGTCCAGTTTCGGCCAGGTCATGATCTCATGGTTCGTGAGTTCAAGCCCTGCGTCGGGCTCTGTGCTGACAGCTCAGAGCCTGGAGCCTGCTTTGGATTCTGTGTCTCCCTCTCTCTCTGCTCCTCTCCTACTCACGCTCTGTCTCTCCTTCTCAAAAAATGAATAAACATTAAAAAAAATTTTTTAATAAAAAAATTAAAATTAAATAGTACTTAAGAAATCAACAGAAGAGACTCTGGCTACAACTCCAATTATTTAGTTTATATGTGTCCTGATGAAGGAGTCTCTCAAAAACGCAAATCTAGTTTGAGTGACAAAATAATGGTGAATGTTTAGTTACTACTATAGTCAATTTTGCATTTAAAAAGAAAAAGTATAATTTGTGATAAGTCCAAAGTGATAATTGAATAAACAACAACAAAAATCACTAAGAGAAACTTATAAATTCATACCTGAAGATTCTTTTCCAATGTGACAACTTTAGAAGTGTTAGGGTTTGGTTTCTTTTTATTAAGTGTATATGTTTTGTTGGTTGAATTTAGATCTTGTTTTTCAGGAGTCAAGTTGCACCTATTGTCATGTATTTCCAATAATGGTATCATTAATAAAGATGTTGTAAATATATTTTCTGACTAAGAGAGAAAAAAGAAAAAGGAAAATAATTCAAAAATGGAGACAAATATAGGGACTACTGAGTAAGTGGTAGTGGAAGCCCTGCTCATTTCCCTCCAAGAAAGCTTTTGGCTCCAATAAAATTTCTAGTAATGTAGTAAAATTAAATATTTCAGAAATTAGCCCAAGAAAAATACTGAAATTTAAAGTTTTCAGAACTACCATTTTTTGACATTATACATAAGTGAGTGAACTCTTCTCAAAACAAATATAAAAGACAAGGAAGTAAATAAAATATTCTCTACAGTTAATAGTTTCTCTCTGAATTAAGCAGAATAATAAATACTAAAAGAAACTCTCTATGAATCTCTAAGAAACAAGAACCACTAAGACTTCAAGCCACCATCTTAACAAAAAAAAAGTCTTTACAAACCTGCATGTCTGAAATGTCTTCAGTCAATAGTTGAGTCCCTGGTTCTTCTTTTTCCCAATTATCTAAGACCAGTGATTTTCTGACTTTCTTTACAGAAGCTGTATGCTAGAATGAATAATTTACAATAGAAACATTATGGTAAAGTCACTTTTGTTTTTAAAATCAAGACTTTTATTAACAATAATACTAAAAGATTACCTCCTGTTTGCAGCTTTTGTAACCAGGTTCATCTTCCTCTTTGAGGAATATGTCTGTTCCAGTTTCTTCTTTTAAAACTTCCCGAATATCTTCTTCCAAGAAGGCAAGTGGCTGTGACTAAATTGTTTTTAAAAGGGTTAAAAAGTCTTTTATAGCAATTCCCTTTTTTCCCCATATATAGAAACCAATCTTTTATACTTTTTAATTATTGGCATTATTTTCACCCAGTCCCTATAGATACATAAGCTGAATGAATTTAACTAATCAGTTTTATGGCAAAACTAATACTGCACATTGCAAGCACTGAATGAAGTGTGGCACTTTCTTTATTCCAGGCTACTAAACAAAAATCTTCTTGGGGAATCTACTGTAGCTCCTGCTTCAATCAGGATCCCCAGAATTAAACTGATGAGAGATAATTTCCCAAATATTTTTATATAAAAATAAGAAATACAGAACAAATTGGGAGGGACCACACTAGCTCTTATTCTACTTTCATTGTAATTATTATATAGCATGTAATTACTAGTTAACACATTTTTCTTACCACTAAATGTGTAAGCTACTTAAGAGCAGTGAGCACATCTTTTTCATCTTTGTATATACTTTTGTACACCTAGCCTTAGTCTTAGGAGCTGAGACGGTGTTCAAGAAGCAGTGTGGGTGTGTATGTCTATGCGTATATTGGAAAGAAACCTGAGTGTGTGCTGAATAGTGAAATAGTCTCAAAATATTATTTATCTAGCTTTCTATCAAATAGCTAAGCAAAAATTTGTTTAATTATATCAAACACCTTCCATAACCAAGATCTGCTTTAAAAAAAATAAGTAATCAAAGTGCCACCAAATAAAGAACAAACTGACAGCACAGAATGACCAGCAGTCAACAAAGCTAGAGAGAATAACATTCATATATAAATGATATTTCAAAGCACTTACAGAAACTTTAAAAATGGAAATAGAATTTTTTTTTAATGTTTATTTTATTTTTGGGAGAGAGACACACACACAGCGAGAGCAGAGGAGGGGCAGAGAAAGAAGGAGACACAGGATCCGAAGCACGCTCCAGATTTTGAGCTGTCAGCACAGAGCCTGAGGTGGGGCTTAAACTCAAACCAAGAGATCATGACCTGAGCCAAAGTCAGATGCTTAACCGCTTAACCAGCTGAGCCACCCAGGCGCCCCCAGAAATAGAATTTTTAAAGTGCTCTCACCTACACCCTGAGATATGAAAGAATTATGTCAGTATTCTTATGCATTGCTCTACGAGTTTTTGTTTTAAGGATTACATTTCACAAATAATATAGATTAGGTGCTCTTAAAAAAAATCTATAATTTCTTTTTCCCTCATAAGAATACAAATGTCCTAGAGAAGTGACTAAGACATAGGTGAATTCATTCGCTACCATGAATTATTCTCTTAATTGTCCTGTGACAAAGAAAAGAATTACTGTATTTAATATTTCCTAAGTTTGATACTACCAAAATTTAGATTTATATTTAAAGGACTTCCAGAGTTTTTAGTCTTTTGAGTGATTTTCAATGAACATTAGAAGAATCAATGTTTATTAAGAAAGCAACAGATACTTAAGGTGTACCTGATTAAAATTCCAGAGCCATCTCGAAGAAGTGCATATGACTCATAAGATACATTAGAAAAATAAATGGTTAGCATATAGTAGGTACTCAGTAAATAACAACTGGAGAAGGAGGAGGAAGAATGAAAAGTCAACTTGCTGTAAACAAATGTATGAGCATATGGATATTTTAGAAATTGTAATTACTAAATCATTACTTTCTTTTCATCTTAAATTGTTGACAAAAATCATCTGTTTTGCCAATGGATAAATTCTTCCCAAACGAGAACAAAGTGACAGGGACTTTAGGTCACTTAAAACCTAATTACTCATGCACTATTACTTTTTTTAATGTTTATTTATTTATTTTGAGAAACAGAGAGACACAGACAGAGCACACACGCAAGCGGGAGAGGGGCAGAGAGAGAGGAGAGAGAAAGAAATCCAAGCAGGTCCATACTGTCAGCGCAGAGCCCAATGCGGGGCTCAAACCCGGGAAACTAAGATCATGATCTGAGCTGAAATCAAGAGCCTGACATTTAACCAACTGGGCCACCCAGGCGCTCTCTCATGTACTATTACTAAAATAACAATTTTATTCAATTTATATGTTGACCAAATGGCCCTGAAGCACTGTAGAATTCTTATGCCTTCAGATCATTATTTATTTGTCTAACTTCCAATTAGGCTACACACTCCTATGAAGGCAGACACCATACCTGACAGGTTCAACATTACATCCCCAGAGCCTAGTCCAGTGCCTGGCACCTATTTATTAGGGACTAAATTATTTGTTGAATTAATGATGAATTTTAAAATGAATAGGGGCGCCTGGGTGGCTCATTCGGTTAAGCGGCCGACTTCGGCTCAGGTCATGATCTCGCGGTCCGTGAGTTCGAGCCCCGCGTCAGGCTCTGTGCTGACAGCTCAGAGCCTGGAGTCTGTTTCAGATTCTGTGTCTCCCTCTCTCTCTGACCCTCCCCCGTTCATGCTCTGTCTCTCTCTGTCTCAAAAATAAATAAACGTTAAAAAAAAAATTAAAAAAAAATAAATAGAAAAACATAACTAAAGTTTCCTAGAAGTGACCAATATTTTAAAAATAGTTTATTTCTAATGAACCTAATTTGTCAGAAATCTGTTATCTGTCTGGAATTAAAATGCCCATAACTCATCTAACATACTTTCCAGTTGATAATATATATGCAAAAGCACAGATTATACTTCCCACCTCCATTTATGAACTACTATTGTTACCACTATTATTAAAATAATAATAGCAACTAAGTAAATACTACTTGAAACTTAGCACCAACCGCTTTATTTCTACTATCTTTTTTATCTTCAGAAATAACCTCTGAGATGCGGGTTGAATAGAAAACTGAGCCTGATCAGAGTCATAAGTATTATCAGCAAAGTGCTTATGTATATCAAAATATTAAAATTATTTTATTCTACTGCAGGTAACCACCACAGAAACTACTAAAATGTGGGTTTTAATATTAAGGGTTCAACTGACACTTGATTTGCTTTCTCTAGATGATATAATAGTAAAAAAAAAAAAAAAAAAAAAAAAAAAAAAAGTACAAATTCAAAACAAGCCAAGCAAAGGTTTAGTTACAAGGAAAAAGATTCACACAACAAATTCTAACTTATAAATCAAGAAATCACATTTTATCAATTTCTGTGCACATCTTTTTTAAAATGTAAAGATTCAAAGATAAATATCAAAATTTGTGTTTTATTAAAATTAGGAAAATTCTTAAGATTAAAAAGAGTATACATACCACAATTTTAAGAGGTCCATATTTTTTCTCTTGAGCAGCAAGCGCATTCTTAAAAGGAGTAGGAGTTCTTGGTGTGGTACCCAATATAGATCTTCTAATAGTAGGTGTTCTAAACCTAGCCAATCATTTAGATATTTGTATTATAGTCAAAATTTGATTTTAGAAGAGTTAAGGAAGGCAAAGCCATGATAAAAGCATTACACTAAATTTTTCTTGCATATACACATGCTTTATTTAAACATTCCAGGAGTATTCTAAAGTATGCTTGCCTAAACTAATTCTTACTGCAATCAATCATCTTAAAATAGAAAAGGAACAAATGTAAAAAAGTACTAAAAATGTTGTTTGCTTCATATCAAAGTTTTCCACTATGTTTACCTTGTTTCACTAGGGATAAAATATGAGGTTATGATATTTTTTTTCAATTCTAAGTCCTATATGAATAGGGATTAGGGTATTTGTATAAGTGGACAAAAAGTTAACCTATTTTTTTAAAAACAGGATCATTTTTATTACACATTTTTAAGTAAGCTCTGTGCCCGACACAGGGTTTGAACTGATGACTCCAAGATCAAGAGTCACAAGCTTCACCAATTGATCCAGCCAGAAACCCCACTAATCTAGTCTTAAAATTGTGCTTCCCATTTTCTTTAACACAATTATTTAATACTACTTACCCTACATTTTCCTTTTGATCTTTGGGGGTTGTTTCCTTATGAAGAGGAGTAGTAATGAGAACTTTCTGCCCACAAATAGGGGTTGATGTAAATGAAGGATTTTCTATATTAATTTGTTCATTTCCAGGGCATGTGTTGAAAAACTAAAAAAGGAAGAGAGTTTAAAGACAATTTCTAGAACATTAATTTCCCTACACAAATATTACACTGATAGGATTTTCAAAGATATTTTCAAATGTAAGATATTTCTCCATTCCTTTTAGAATAGAATTATCAATAATATTTCATCTACATTCCACTCCATGAAAATTAAGCTCCATGAGGGCAGGAATTTTTATTTTGTTCATCACTGCCTCCTCAGCTCTTTTAAGTGTTTAGCACATAATAGGCATTCAAGAAATAGTTGTTTAAAAAATATTCAAAAGTTACAAAACACCATACAACAATTTAAAAACAGTGTATTATTAAATAGGAATCTACAGAAACTGTTAAGTAAAACAGATTCATACAACAGTGTAACTGGAAAAATTTTATTATTTTATTAATAAGTGTCTTTATTAATCTTAAGTGTCCTTTTCCATGAGAATACTTTGAACTCAGAAAATAATAATCATGCTTTGCTGATAATACAGCTGTCTAGAAAATTTGCTTACCTAAAATACAACTCTCAGAACTTTGGAGTAGCCAGAATTGGTATCAAGAATTCATTTTCCAAATGACACAATTTACTCACTGAATCTTAACTTACATACAACCATGAAATACTATTTTTGTAGCCAACAGAATAGAAGCAGTGGTAGGAAGAAGTGGAAATTACTTTAAGGCTACTTATAACTGAAATGAATTCTAGCTCTATCACTTCTGGCTCCTAATATTTACAATACTTAACCCTGAGATTAGCAGTCAAACCCTCTCAAAACTCTGCAATGATGCCCATGAGTTATGGGATAAAATTCAAGCTCTTTGGTATGGGATACTAGGTCTTTCTTATCATTACTCAACCTTCTCAGCTACTTTCCACCTTAGAATTTATACTTCAACAAAAATTGCTAGTGTTCAAAACTCCAAAAATAGAAAATTGCTGGTGTGCCCAACCCCATTTCACCTTCCTCAGGATGCTTTGTGACTCTAAGAGCTGGGGTGATGTTGGGAAATGCAACTCTTCAAACTGTAGTCTATGTCAATTGCATCCCCTGAAGCATAGGGGGTTTAATTTTCAGAGAACACAGTTTTTGTATACAGCCAGATCCTCCTAATTTTCCCAGCATCAAAATACATTTTCTTTTTTTTTTTTTTATTTTTGGGACAGAGAGCATGAACGGGGGAGGGGCAGAGAGAGGAGACACAGAATCGGAAACAGGCTCCAGGTCTCAGCAGCCGCAGGCCCAGGCCTGGGAGGGCTCCAACTCTCGACCGGCAGCGTGATCGTGACCTGGCTGAAGTCCGGGCCAGCTTAACCCATTTCATACCAGAGCGCCCCTCAAAATACACTTTCAATAATATCTCAGCATCCTCCAAGTTTATTTGACCATTAAACTTCCTTCTTTTCCTGTAAAACTTTTTAACCTCTATCAAGACACTTTCAGCAAACATCAGCTCCATCCTCTTACTGACTGTGGACAAACTGCTTAACTTCTGAATTTCATTCCACCTCCCTTCTAAGGTTTTTTGCAAGAGGATTAACTGAGATGCTGTAAGAAAAGTGTTTAGCACACAGCCTCGAACACAGTATTCATTAAGAAAGATAGTATTATAAAATAAGAGATACAGTTTGCCCTGTATCTCTTATAAATTGCTGCTGCCCAGGGACATAACTACAGGAGAAAGCAGATAGTTCCTGACATGCCTAGAAAACCTTCAGACACATGAAATTCTTCCAGTGAGCAGTCATCTATGAATATACACTTGATACCTGTTGAACAGTTAATCAGGAAACAATCTCAGTCTCAGCTCTGCCATCAGGTAACTTTGGGCAAACCATTTTACCTTTCTGGGCCTATTTCCTGATGAATCCTATAAAGATGTGCAACTACTTACCTAAAACATCCCTTTTAGCTCTAAAAATTTTAAGATACTGTAAAGTAACTACTATACTTTATGAGATACATTCTGATCTACCAGAGCTCAGCACTCTCATGTACACATTTAAATACCTTATCCGTTTTTATCGAAGCAACAAACTGCTAGTAAGAATATTAAACATCTAATGTAGGGGCGCCTGGGTGGCGCAGTCGGTTAAGCGTCCAACTTCAGCCAGGTCACGATCTCGCGGTCCGTGAGTTCGAGCCCCGCGTCAGGCTCTGGGCTAATGGCTCAGAGCCTGGAGCCTGTTTCCGATTCTGTGTCTCCCTCTCTCTCTGCCCCTCCCCCGTTCATGCTCTGTCTCTCTCTGTCCCCAAAATAAATAAATGTTGAAAAAAAAATTTAAAAAAAAAAAAAAAAAACATCTAATGTAATCGAGCTCATCAACATTTGGAAACATAAACAAACACAACACTACTACCTGTGAAGGAGAAAATGGTAGTGTTTTCACCGGTGTGTGTTTTAGTGCTGTATTACCACCATCATTGAAGGAGCCATCGCTATGTTCGCTGCCTGGGGACTGACCCACTCGCATTCTTCTCTTCTTTCTGAGGATGGTTGGTGGAGTGCTAAACTTGGCCACATTTGGGGATGTTACAGGAACAGCCTCACTGTCTGTACTGTTACAACTGTTTTTTTTCCCTTCAAGTACAAGACTGACATTAAACTGACATCCCATGGCTCCTTCATTGTGTTGAATTCGCATTAGTTTGACAGGGGTAGACTTGACAGGAGAAGCAGCAGCATCAGAAAGATCAAAACTGGTAACATCACTCCATGCTACAGGATCCTGCAATAAAATAAATCCTTAAGTTAATGTTATAAACTAGTTAAATCTGACATTGAACACAGAAAGATGACTTTCACAAAGTTATTCATTTCTATTAGGAGAAACAGGCTTTCCTTGTTCTTTTTTTTTTTTTAAGACCATTTGAAAGGAACAGATTATGGTTTCACTACACTCCAGTTTGGAACATCCTAATAATATTTCATCCAATTCAGTAGCTGAGGAATACTGCCAAAGTATTTTAAATAAAAAGAATAAATTATTTTAAGTTACTATCAAAGAGTACAATTCTTCATAAAACTGTGCACTCTACTCTGTATCAGAAAAATACTATCAAATTCTATAAAGTCATTTGGAAATGTGTATAGAACATCTTCAAAATGGCCATACACTTTGATCCAGAAATTCAATCTAACCTAAGGAAATAATCATGATTTTATACAAAAATTTACATAAGATGCTCTGCAATTTTCAATACTAAAAAATTGGATACCACCTAAATGTTCAATAACAGTACACTGAGTAAATAAATTTTGTTACATTCATATGAAAGGATAAAATTAAAGTTTAAAAAACAGTTAAGAAAACAAAGACATGCTCATGATATAATGTCAAAAAAATCCACAAACATAATACGTAAGAGTACGTTTCAGTTTAAAAATATATGCATATATGTATGTTTTATATGTATAGAACACAGCCTGAAAGAAAATACTTGAAATTATTAACTCTGGACTTATGAGGATTTTTCTTCTTTACAGTTTCCTCTAGTTTCCAACTCTAATATACTTGTACAACTTGTACAATAAAAAACAAATTGGTAACTTTTAAAAATTTTAGACAAACTACATACTTGAGATATAGATACAATTTTTTATGCCAAAAGCCACTGCAAAAAATCAAAACAAAATTAAGCATGACATATAAAGGAATGCTTAAAATAAAACTGGTCAGTGTCCCTTAAACTAAGTTTCTGAACATGAAACCATGTAGCTAAAATTGAGCTTTTTATAATCTCACAATTTCAAACTTACAGATTCAATAAGTTCTAGAGTCTCTGCAAATTCTGGGATGGTCTGTAGAGAGGACAGCACAGCATTTGCCTCTACGGCCAGGAACTTTGTGGGTGAATTCTGCTGAGCAGACAGAGTTTGATTTTCATCCATACTGTAAAACTCACTAGTGTGCTCCTCGAGGCTATTTAGAGTATTAGACATGCTATCATCCATGAGGAAACTACCAGACCAGCTAGAAAAGCTTCCAGGTTGCTAAAAGTACAAAAGAAATGTGAATATTATTTGTCATTCTCAACCTAAGCATAAATTTGGATTTTAAGTATGAGTTTTTTCTAGAATAACACACTTCACAACATTTCAGCTAAAAATATAGCAGCAAATATACTGTCTTTCCTCAAAATGGATGTAAACATTTTTTTCATTAAACCTCTTGACTCTATTTCTTTTCTCTATTTTTTTAAATGTATAATGTCATGGTAAGATAAAATTAGCATGTGTATACAACATAAAGTTCAAACTCCCAGAATCTGTCCTCTCTCTACCTTTCACACTTCATCTCCCAACATTTCCACTCACAAGCCCTCCTTTTATGAACTATCAAATACCCAACTACACTTGTTGCAATTCCCTCATGAGTTAGTCTTTTACCCTAGAGTGTCTTTGCACATACTGCTGCTCCCTTTATCTAGAATGCTCTCCAACACAGACCAAGGAAAACTTGTATTCTTCATTTAAGATACACCTCAAATACTGGAAAGTACTCCATCTGATCATCCACTTTTACCTGTTTCACTTATAATAATGTTCCAGTTCACCTACTTTGCTAGAATATAATCATTGTCTTTCAACACTGCACTCAAATAGAATTTCTTCTAGGAACCCTTCTCTGACTACTCAATCCTTAGATACCTCTCTTATGTGTTCCCATAAAACTTTGTGACTTATCACACTATATCCTATTTCTTGTCTGTGTCCTCATTGTGGAGTAAATCTTTTGAAGTCAGAGACTGTGTCCTATTTATCTCTCTAAAGAGGTACACTGGGCAATCTTTTGAGCTTAGTTTCCTAGGATCTCATAATAAAAAATGAAAAGAGACCTTGAAGAATCATGGTTAAGAAACAATATGTAATTTGAAAGTTGTTAAGAGTGGATCCTAAGGGGCACCTGGTGGCTCAGTTGGTTAAGTGTCTGACTCTTGATTTTGGCTCAGGTCATGATCCCATGGTTCATGGGATCGAGGCCCGCATTGGGATTCTCTATCTCCCCCTCTCTCTGCCTCTCCCCTATTCATGCTGTCTCTCTCTCTCAAAATACATAAAAAAACAAACAAACAAACAAAAAGAGTGGATCCTAAGAGTTCTCATTACAAGAAAAAAATATTTTTCCCTTTTTCTTTTTCAATATAGTTTTGTACCTGTATCGGATGACAGATGTTAACCACACTATTGTGGTAATCCTTTCACAATATACATCAAATCATTATGCTGCACATCTTAGACATACAGTGTTGTATGTCAATTATATCTTAACAAAACTAGGGGAAAAATATGTAAAATAATAGCTCTGTCCAACAGAACTCTCAGAGGTGATGACAATGTTTTTGCATCTGAAACTGCTCAATATGAGAGCCACTAGCCATATGAGGAATCAAATGTGACTAGTGCAACTGAGGAACTCAATTATTAAATTTTATTTAAAATTAAATGGGGCTAGTAGCTACCATATTTTAGAGAGTACATTGCCCTGTCCATAGGAAGTACTAAAAAAATGGTACCTATTACTTTAAAAAAAAAATTACTAGACTGTGCTAGATATTCATAATAACAAAATGTTAAGTTTCAAGTTAAGTAAGGTGAAAAAAGTTTTCAACATTGTTACAAAGTAAGTTCCACCTGTTTTAAAATTTCTCCAAAATAAAAGAAATTAAAGCAATCTTATTTTATTAGCACAGCCAACTTCTGAGTTTATGGTCACTTTCTGGAGATAGCTTCCAAACCGTAAGCATTTCAATTAAGTTTGGAGGTGGGAAAAAGATTCCAAAGGTGACTAGGCCCAGTGGAAAAACCACAGGGCTACCTTCAGACACACCTGAAAAATGAATTTCTAACAACAAACCACAAACTTCAGAGTTAATAATAAGGATTACCAAGAATACATAAAACATATCTAACAATGCTCCAACATAATGGATACCCAGTAAATGACAATAATTACTATCACATAATTTTTAATAATAAATACTTTTACATACATACTTTATGTGTATAGACTAATTCACTGGGTGTAACAACTTCCCTCTAGAATCTAGAATCTCCAACCAGATCTTTTTCAACGTTTATTTATTTTTGGGACAGAGAGAGAGACAGAGCATGAACGGGCGAGGGGCAGAGAGAGAGGGAGACACAGAATCGGAAACAGGCTCCAGGCTCTGAGCCATCAGCCCAGAGCCCAACGCGGGGCTCAAACTCACGGACCGCGAGATCGTGACCTGGCTGAAGTCGGACGCTTAACCGACTACGCCACCCAGGCGCCCCTCCAACCAGATCTTTATAAGAGTGATATTTAAATAAACAAGTTCTAAAAAATTAATATCTTTCTTCATTTTAAATGCCATTTCTTTTAGCTAGTTATATCTTCCTGTTAAATTAAAAATGGGCGTGCCTGGGTGGCTTAGTTGGTTGAACATCCGACTTTTGATTTCAGCTCAGGTAATGATCTCACAGTCGTGGGATCAAGCCTGTGTCCAGCTCCACGCTGAGAGTGGAACTTGTTTGAGATTCTCTCTCTCCTCTCCCTTTGCCCCTTTCCCACCCACATGCTTTCTTTCTCTCTCTCTCAAAAAAATAAAATAAAATAAAATAAATAATAATAGTAATAATGGTAGACTCAAAAAAAATCAAAAATGGTTTAAACATGATATAATTATCTAGAAACGTGGACTCTCTTAAAAAAACCAAAATTAACTTTAAAATAAGTGCACTTTAGGTCTTCCTATTTGCCCATGGTTTTTGCAGTTTCAAAACAAAAACTATGCTTCCTATGGCATATATCTTGTCCATTAGTTAACAAATGTGATTTTTATTAATACTGTTTTAAATGGTGTAAAGACATCACCAGTTGCCTCCTAACACTATTTCAAGATCTCAGGTAATTCTATTTAGCAATTTTATATTAGTTCCTAGTCACCTTAAATGGACAGTCCCCTCATTAAGCCCCAAACCAAGAATAACCTTTTTCTAAATGTAAAAAGTCTCAGGATATTAAACTTTTAAAACTGTCATTTAAGTATAATTTTTTTTTTCTTTTAATCCATCAAGCATAGCCTAGTTTAGCTAGGATGATTACCATTTATCCTAATTTAATACTCCTAATTGTTCTCACCAACCAAATCCCAGACAAGAGTTTGCACATGTAGTAACCAAAACCCAACATCCATATAAAAATTTCTTTAAAGAACATAAAATTTAAGTATTCCCTTTCCCTATATTTTTAAGTTATTATTTTTTTTCCAAATTACCGAATTTGTATTCTTAATATAGTAAATAGGAAAAAATGTTCAAGGACAGAATAAAAGTAATTTTGAAGCACATAAATCTCTACATGTCTATTAAGTTCTTTATTTTTTAAACTTTTTTCTATTAAAGCCATCATTACAAGGAATGTCTAAAATAAAAGCAAAGACTAATCTAAACCACACATTTTACAAATATATAGACATATATTTTTATATATATACATATACACATATGTATAGATATATAATCATACCTTAAGTCTGCTTGACATTTATGACTCAAAAAGCATCTTAGTACAGAACACTGTAAAATACGTTCAAAGAGCTGTATATCAAAATCAGGCAACCTCAAAGTTGCAAATTAAAAAAACTATTTTTAGTCTGTATTAAAATCTGAAGTCATACTGAATAGGCTTTCTGTGTTAGTATATGAAAGTCAATGCTGATGAAAACTACAAGAGCACAAAAAGACTTCTAACAAGGTCTAAACACTTAAGCTTATTTCTTACCGATGAAACTCGCTTTCTTCTAACTTCATTCTCAGCTGACATAAGAAGCAACTCAAGTTCCTTTATTTTTTTTTCCTTATCTGGATCTTCATCAATGAAGGGTGGCTAAAATAAGTTAAGTAAAATAGAAAGACTATTTAAATAATGCCTTTATTATTATTATTGTTGTTGTTCTAATTTTTATTTTCTTTTATGCAACATAAAATCTATTTTCTCTAATAAAGCTTAATTCAAGTAAATCCCAAATGCTCAATATCACAATCCTTCTGGTATCTAAAGAGATGCTTTTTTTTTCCTTCCCCTCCCCCATGGTCTTCTGTTAAGTTTCACAAGATCCACACATGAGTGAAAACATATGGTATCTTTCTCTGTATGACTCATTTCACTTAGCATAACACTCTCCAGTTTCACCCACGTTGCTACAAAAGGCCATATTTCATTCTTTCTCATTGCCATGTAGTATTCCATTGTGTATATAAACCACAATTTCTTTATCCATTCATCAGTTGATGGACATTTAGGCTCTTTCCATAATTTGGCTATTGTTGAAAGTGCTGCTATAAACATTGGGGTACAAGTACCCCTATGCATCAGCACTCCTGTATCCCTTGGGTAAATTCCTAGCAGTGCTATTGCTGGGTTATAGGGTAGGTCTATTTTTAATTTTCTGAGGAACCTCCACACTGCTTTCCAGAGCGGCTGCACCAGTTTGCCTTCCCACCAACAGCGCAAGAGGGTTCC